AGTTCCTCACGCCATAGAGGCGCTTCTAGTTCTTGGCGTGCTAGGTAACTCTTGTCCTCAACAAGACCTGGCATTTGTATTCACGTAGTTAGATTGAGAACAGCTCGAGCACGTCTTCATAGCACGGATCACCTCCCAGGTGCAAGTACGCAGAAGCCATCTGGTCGAGTTCCAGTGCCAGGCCTTTGAGCCTCGTTGCCATTGCGGTCTTTGGAGAATGGCCACAAAGTATTCTCATGCAACTTGCCACGGAGGCCATAGAAACCTCATGGAGGCTCTGTCGTGTGCTACGTTGGGTCCTGTGGGATATAAGATTTGCAAATGGTTTTGAGCGCAGCACAGGCCTTGTTGCATTGGATGTGTGAACTTCTAGCAAAATGTCAATGGAAGTCAATAAAGGTCTCTTGACATCCGTTGACTAATAAAACGTATCCTCGACGGGGTTCTCAAGCTCACAGAAGGCAGAAACATTGGCAATGCTATATCAACATGTGTGCTTGGGCAAGAATATCATGTGATTATTTTGCCAGCATTTGTCTTGATCAGGCTTATATCTCTCCTTGGATGTATATTGCCTTCAACTCAACTTGTCATATAACTATTATATATCCAGTGAGATCACACTATTTCTACAATCTCTCATGGGCCCAGATTTTAGGCTTTTTAAGCCTTGAAACATTTTTATTATTATTTTGTTGTGAATGTGATTGTGGGTATTAATAGTTATCTATCAGTGAGTTCTTTTAAATATTTTCTTTACTGCCACAATAGCAAAAAATTGATATTGTTAATTCCTTTTAGTCCTTTTTGTTCAAGTGTTAATAAATTGCATTTAGCATCTGTACTTAGCTGGATAAATCTAAAGTAGGAACTTTTATATGTTTCTTGTTGAGCATACTTGATTTGACTTTTAATTCTCTTTTGCTCTGTCTTGCATTGCCTTAGCAAGGACCCTTATGATATTAAGCTTAATCTTTTATTATTCACTGAGTGATAGTTTATTATTTCTACTAAGACACCCCATTCAATCCTAATGGCTATTTATGGAAAGTGTCTAGATAGATATATTTACGGAATATAAAAATTGTCCTAAATATGATGGTGTTATTCCCATATCCAAATTCACATTTTAATGCCATTCCATATTTAATAAGTTTTTATAATTGTTTTAAAGACTAACTCTTGGATTAAGGTGAAAACCCAAAACATACATTCCTTTGGGCTTCCAAATGTATAGTAGGGATAGTGGGTAGTTCAAGCATGGTTAATCAACCTAAGGTATAATTTAGCTCCTTACTTGTGTGCTTATCCTTGTTTTGCATCTAACTTGGGTTTAAACCTAAATTCTATACCATATTAGTTGATAGAGCATCTATATCCTTGTGTTAAGCCATTGGTAAAGATAGCCAAACATTATTGCCGTGCTCTCTTATAAACTTTTTTTATACTGGAATAAAGGTAGCGTGAATGTAAGTTTGAGGTTTAGTCAAATTGACATATAAAAGAGAATTATGAAGGATAAAGGATCAAACACGTAAATTATTTTTTCATTCTCAAGAAATGATTTGCAATGAAGTGTGATTTCATTACTTATTTCACATCATATGGTCGGAGTCTCTATTTCGATGCATGTTGATTATGATAGTCTTACAAATGATGAGTCATAAGATAGATAGTGGTGAAGTGTTAAATTATTTTGTTTAGACTTGTTATTAGAAGGCTTGGTTGCGATGTTCAATTTTTTTCTAAGGAAAGTTTTTTATTGCTTTTTGAGTAGCTTAGTATTGGATTAGTTTTGAGTTTGGTTAGAAAAAGAGTGGCATGAGCTTGTCTATGTTGTAAGCAAAATTTGTGGTTAAATGTTGTAAATCTCTATTAATGAAGTGTAGCATTTATGTTGCATTTTTTTTATTAGAGTAGACACTTTATAAATTTTTAAAGTAATAATGTGGGCTAGTTCATGGAGCTCGATTGATGATTAAATCATTATGATTTTTATATTATATACTAATGATTGTGAGCAATGTGTTTACAAAGTTATTTGGTCAAAAAATAATCAACCCCAAAATGGTTAATAGTGAAGCTAGTCTATTTATATATAGGAGTAGCTTTGATTGGATTCTCAAAAATTATCCATTATACTAAGCTTATGTTTTGGTACCTTAGTTCCTTCAATTTGCCTATTTGTTATAATTTATTGGTGAATCTGTTAGTACTTGGAATATTGTTGGATGGAGAAAGTTTGTGGTTGAGGCATTGACATTGTTAGCACTTGTGTTAGTGGAAGTAGCATTATTACATTAAGTGATGAAAAGTTCTCCTTAAAACTTAAATTTTTATGTCATTTTTATTGTTAGTGTTTTGGCTTCAAATTGAATTTTGAAAGTGATTGAAAAAGAGTGTTAATGCAATATAAATATCAAAAGAAATGATCTTCATGATCAAGTCTTGAGTATTTATTTTTAGTTCACATTTTATGAATATTGATGTTGGATTCATTGTTTTCATCTTTGTATATATAACAAGTCTAATTACCCAATTTTGTTGGATAATACTCACTAAAATATATTTCTCTAATACTAAATGTAGCACACATAAGTTTTCCCTGTAATGTTTTACCATATGGAGTAAAACTTAAACCTTAAACAACTAGGCTAAGGACTCAATTATAAATTTAGTGTTTAGGTTTTATGAAGGTAAACTGAAATGTGGTTGTTAGTTGCTTTGCAATTAGTAATTGTTCATAGACTTCTTTATCAAAACTAGTTAAGCAAAATGTCAATGCCTAAAATTTTCACTGAGTACTATTGGATTTTCCAACTAACATTCCACAACCTTTGCATTTCAATGGATTTTCCACCCAGAAGAATCATCCACAAGCCCGGCTATGGATGGATTGCTCCAGCTGACCAACTCACCCTTGTGTCGACTATAATGCTCAATCCTGGGAAAGATCCCAAAGTCTGAGATCATGGACAAAAAGTCTCGGCAGTACTGCTCAAGCTAGCTCACTGCTGATGCTAGAATTGTCATGAAGATGGTCTCGTCTGGCTTGAAAGCAAGCAAGATCATCTCTCAAAAGAGATCCAGTGCCTTGCTCACGTGTCCGTTCTGGACATAGGCTGCAATGATCAAACTCCATGTCGTGACCTCCTGCTACTTTTCAAATCGCTCAAATGCTGTTCTTGAGGATTGAACGTAGCCATGCTGTGCAAGCGCCAAGATCACGGTGCTGAGAGCTACTTGGTTGCGATCTGGCATTGTCTCATAGATGTCCCTGGCACTTGCAAGCTGGCCATCCTGTGCATAAGCTTGCATCATCACAATGATGTCACAGCGACTCCCAGTTTCCACTACGAGATATGGGGATTGCGTGAGAAACTGTGCTCTCTTCTACGAGCCAGATGAGTATCCGGCTGATGAGATATCGGGCATTACTTCCCTTATGCTTGGTAACTCGTTGGATCTCATGCCTTGCGATTCTTCCGAGTAGGTGGGGAGTCCATCTTCGACTTGGCACTCACCCATCTCTGGGAACTGTGCTTGAAGTTGAAGAAAGTGTTGGGCATCGCGGCGAGGAGGAATGCGGCGGGATTGGAGGGCCGTACAAGGGGATTCTTCCCTGTGGCCCAAACGTGCCCGTGTGACGCCTGGAGCAGTCGGTACCTTTCCTATAAAGCCACAAGAGAAAAAAACCCCCTGTCAAGGTCACTGTGCGTGAACGGGCCAACCCGATACATTGCTCCCGCAGAGGGCATACCAATGATCCACTCCATCGGTCCGTAGAACCTCTCGTCCAATCTCTTTACCTTGGAGTAGAGATCCCGCCAAGCGTCAACCATCTCAATCTTCTCACGCTTTGTGCTCAACCTCAAAAGCCAGCACCCGGTTGTAAACCCATAGCTGAAGATCTGGCCTCTTTGGCTTGGCCGTAGTTCTTGATCTATCCATAACGTTCGATCGCTCGTCTCGAAGCCTTTAAACACAAGAAAACCATGGAATCAATCGAGAAAAGAATTAGAAAAACTATGGAATCAATCGAGAAACGAATGAGTTTTTCTTGTTGGTGATGACATCACAGACAACGTTGTAAGCGTTTGCGTAGGAGAACATCGATCCGGGGAGTTTGGAGTTGAGTTCCAGGATGAGATCTCCCAGAGCCGAGTTGTAGTCCAGTGCAAGCTTGTTGGCACTCGGAACACAGTTCCCATCTCTCCGGAGATTGAGCGTGAGCTGATATGGGATGCAGCCGATGGGTCCAACTCCCGTGACAATGATCCTGCGAGCACCCAAGTTGTAAAGCGTCTGGAAAGCAGCAACTTTTAGATGATCACGAGAACTTTACATGGACTTAACTGTGAGTTGCTGCCTGGAAGGCGTGCGGCGTGAGGAAAGAGTCCTAGGTGAGAGGAACGGGCAAGAGATAGTCATTGGCACCGATGGTGACGCAAAAAATGGATTTTACGAGGTACTGGTGGGCAGACTCCTCACGAAACATGGACTTGAGCTTGCGCGTGGTGTTTTGGAAGTAGAGAAGTTGCTTTGACAACGACAATCTTCCAATCTAGATCACAAGAGCAAATCACAAACTATGAGGAAAAAACTTGGAAAAACTCACGAAGATCCTTCCGGTCTCCACGATTCCTCCACGCATAGTTCACACCTTTGGGTGCTACATACGGTGGAGCATATCGAATTCCAAAACTCTGGCCTGGCAAAACGAATTAATTGACAGAAAATGTCTCAAGAGCGCTGAGTTTTTGTTGCCTGCATGCAAATTCCACATTAGGGCAAATGAATGTTGAGACTCACCAAACAAGCAGTAAGAAAGCACACTTTGTTTTCCTTCTGTCATGGCATGGTATTATTGAAAACATTCAACTAACTCAAAATTATGCGTAAGTGCAACGGGATACAACCCTCCAGATCACAACGCGTCCCTGTTCGCCCTGCGTCTGCGCGAGGTAATCATCCTAGCTGGGCACTTCAATCCAACATAATCAGCCTTTGGCGAGCTTCTGCAGTAGAGAGTAAGGCCCATTAAACACGTTCTGATCGCCAGGAAACGTTCCCGAGTCGGCGTACTGCCAAAACGTATATACTTTCCAGTTGTAAGGATAAGTGGTCACCATGGGACAATAACAAGCGAGCCAAAATGGGCAGACACTGCTAAAGTCCCCATAAGTCCCCACGCATGTGTTATACCAGTCCGCAGTGCTGTAAATCACTGGATAAACTCCAGTTCCTTGCTTGGAAGTGTTCACAAAGTCCTGGATCCACTTCCTCATCTCTGGCTTTCCAAGGTTGTAACATGTTTGCAGTGGATTACAAGAGTTTCCACAAGATGGATTGTACTCAATATCCAAAGCTCCAGGAAGTGTTTGCCCATCTGAAGACCACCGACCTCCATTTGTGAGGAAGTACATCGCCTGAGTAGCACCATTAGATATGTCCGGACGGCCAAAGTGATATGCTCCACGGATGAAACCTGCACGGTAAGAACCAACATACTGCTGTGAAAAATATGGGTTTGGGTATCCCGTTCCTTCGGTGCCCTTGATGTATGCGAACCTTGCAACGTTGTTGTAGGCACTCGGCCAGTCAACATTACCTTGGTAGCTACTTACATCCATACCTGGAACTCCAGATCTAGCTTGGAGGAGAGTGCGACCTGCTGTCAAGCCATGACATTCGTGAGTGTACAAATCTGAAGTGTTGAGTGAGAATGATTGAGCTGGGATCGAGAGAAAAGATAAAAGGAGAAACGGAAAGATCAAGCAATGAAACACCATAGCTTGAACTTGGAGACCTTGGAACTTAATTTCTGCCTAGCTTGAAGTCTTCAAGCCATGCTGTTTTAAAGAGATTGCAGCTTAATCTTGATTACATTGTAGCACTGACTTTCGGATTTCTGGCCGTTTCTCCAGAAAAAAATATAAACAAAATAAAAAATGGAAGAAGATATCAACCTGAAGTTAGATTGAGGTGTTTTCTGAGTTTGAGATAAGATTCAACTGAGTTTAGTGTTGTCCAAATCCAAAAGTCTAATGCATTGCATGCACTAGTATATAGCCTCAAGGTTACTTGTACATATGAAAAATCATATGTGGGATTCCATAAAAATTCTAAGTTGGATTTCCTAAATTGAAAAATTCCCACTTTCAAGGATGATGTACCTCCTGTTAAAACTTATTTTAATTTGGAATGTGGAGGCCCACGTGGCAAGAGAAAAAAGATAGAGAGGGGCACACCCAAGAAAATTCATAAATATGAAGCCCATGAACAAAAAAAAGTCATGGGGGCATTTTGGAGGTAGTGTTGAGAATGTGATTGTGAGCATTAAAAAGTTATATGTTAGTGAGTCTTTTCAGATATTTTTCTCTTATTACTATGATGACAAGAGATTAATATTGTTAAACCTTTTATCAGTCCCTTTTATATAAGTGTTAGTAAATTAGACTTACAATGGTGTTATATGTGGGGGACTTGGAGAAAGTTTTAAGTCCTCTCATATTATATATAGCCTTTTTGGGCAATTAGGGCCCAAAATTCATCTGGGTTGACTCAGGACAAGCCTCAATTCCAGGCTTAGGATTGACTTGGGACAACCTAAAATAAAGTTTTTAGGTCTGGTGGGAAATGAGGAAATGCTACAGCCAATGCACCCAAGAAAATTCACAAAAGATGGAATCACTACACCATCGCTCAAGAAGATAATCATGTAACTTAAGAGCACCCATAGCAACATTAAAGATGCAACCACAAGTTATAAACCAAGTAAGAGTTAGAGAATTTTGTGTTTGTATTCATGATGAATTTCTAGAAAAACTTGGCATTTCTAGCATCATTTTCAATTCAGAATTCTCATATATTTGCAAGATAGAGTCTTGGTGATGCTGTGGTGAATTAAAATTTTCATTTCATTTAAGTTATTTTTTTTCTTTTAAGGAAACTCAAATGGACTTGGAACTCATGGAAACTCTAGAGGTAAGTGCTCAAAAAATTGAATTATACCTCTAGAAACATGTCTAATGTAGTCCATCACTTACTCAACAAGGTGTTTCCACCACTAAAACTTCTCTAAATCCACAATATTTATCTAATGTGAGTTTTTCAATCTTTTTAGAGCTTGTATTATAGGTTGCCTCACTTCCACCTAGCTTGGATTTGAGAGTTTGAAATGAGGTGTCGAATTCAAATGATTTCTAATGAAAGTTTGAAGTTAGGAAGAGGAAAACATAGACACTAGAGGAGATGACCACTCTCAATTATGCGAAGTGTTTAGATAATATAAAGTATAAAGAGGGTGGATCTATGAAGAAGTCTAAGGGGAAAAACAATAAGTGGAAGTGAATTTAACATTAGTATTATGAGAATAAATGTTACTATGATTATCCCCAATGCAAAAACTAGGAGGATATAACCTCAACATTTGGAAGTGGGAGCTTGATATTCTAAGTGGGCAATTAAGCTATTGGAATATATCAAGTGATGAATGCATCACTTGGAAATTATATTATGACTTCCCAGAGGAGTTTTACAATAAGATGGTTTCAGAGAGTAGAACTATAGATATAGATGGCCTTGTTTTTGACACATTAGAACAAAAATTTGTTGCTTTCAATAAGCACTATACACCACAGACTCAGCCCTCACAACCAACTGAGTCCTTATAACTAATTGAGCTTGAAGGTATGCCATTTATATTTGTTTTATGGTTTATAAGTTTTTAATGCATTTTAGATCTAAGTCAAGAGCTAGGTCAACTTTGAAAAGAGTAAAGGACAACACCCTAAAAACTAGTATGAAAAGATAGAGGGCACCAAAGGGTGTTGAAGGGATGATAAAGATGATGGAGAAATGTTGAGAAGCACAAATGAAGCTTGCACAAAATCTTCATGAGCAAAACAGCAAACAATGATTGACACCTTGAGTTCGGAATCACAATGGACACAAGAGTGCTTGAGTAATAGTCTATAGGGTGTGAGGGACTAATTTTCTTGTCAAAATGACTTGTTTGAGATGTAGATTAGGAAGGGAATGTAATTCTTTTAATGGTGCAAACTCAATATTTAATCCATTATAATCTTTGTAAATCTACATCCAAAAGTACTTCTAACAACATTACTTTCTTTAGTGCTATAATTTGGATCATTGCTACTGCCATCCCACTCCTCCAAAAATCTATCACCACTGGTTATCATAATGTTATGCATAATAACACAAGTTGTGATATAATTACATTGCATATAAGGATCACCACAATAAAGTTGCTTATTCAAATACCTCCACTACATCTTTAGTTGACCAAATGTTTGTTCGACTGCAATTTTAGTAGAGGAGTGTATGAAGTTATATTGTCACCAACAAATGGAATAAACATTCCCACAGCAATATCATAGCCACCATCTGCTATTAAATACTCAATGTCTCCAAACCTTGTATGGTAAATAGGACCATTCAATCTCTCACAACGAATAACTTGTGACTGTGGTCCAAACTTTTTGATCATTTGCAAATCTTGGATATCCAACTCTCAAGTCTAAAAACCAAGATTCATTATCAACAATAGCTTAAGCTTGCATGCTAAACTATCATTTATAATCCCTCCACTTTTGTTCATCAAAACCACCTAGAAGCTTTATTTGGATGTGTGTGCAATCAATATCTCCAACATAATTTAGGAAACTATGCAATCTTTAGAAATCATTCTTCACTATTTGAAGTTCTTCCCTTTCTGGCTACCTAATATATGTGCTTCTGTGTTTTTCCATAAGTGCTCTCACAAATTTCTTTAATACTTTTATACAAGTTGCATGGTGATATCCAAACTTCTCTGAAAATGTAGGCCATATATCCCTTATAGCTAACTGTCACAAAGAGATACTTATATGTTTTACTACAAAGTTCTTTTTACTTGGAATGTTGTAAAGACCTTGTGAAGGATTCATCATTTAATAAGTTGCAAAGGAAATCGATAAGAGAAGAAGCAACAAAATTACTCAAAGCCATAGAAGAGTGTAACCTTTTTTGTTTTTGAAGTGTGTATTGAACAATAAATTCATATACCTCCATCACAATTTAAGATTGGCAAAGAATGTTGGAAATCACTACAAACTCTTATTCTTTGCTATCACTCTCATTTTCCAAGGTCACTACCTTATCTTCTGAGCCAAAAGCACCTTGATCAAGTACTCCATCATTCTTAATTGCCCTTCTTGAGCTCTCTGTTATGCCCTCTTTGCAATGGGAAACACCCTATTCAAATGGCAAGGAAATTTTGAATTAGGGATCTTTAGGGCAAAATTAAAGGTACTGGGATTTTGATTAAGGACCCCCCCTCAATTTAGTCTGATTAACTATTTATGGAAAGTGTTTAGATTTGACAGTTAAACATATTTATGAAATGTAGAGATTGTCCTACATATGATAGTGTTATTCTTACATGCAAATTCACAATTTAATGTCATTCCATATTAATAAGTTTGCATGATTGTCCTAAAGATTAATTGTTGGAATTGGGGTGAAACTTCAAAACATACATTCATATAGGGTAGGAGGTGGGGGGATTCCAAATGTGTAGTAGGACAGTGGGTAAGTCAAGCATCTTGAGACACTATATATCTTCTTGCTAAGCGTATTTATCCTTGTTCCACATCTAGCTTGAGTCTAACCCTAAGCTTTATATTGAAGTACCCATATCTTTGCATTAGACCACTAGTATACTAAAATAATGCTAAACTCTATTTGGCTTCTTTTTACATACTAGTCTTAGTATTGGGATGTTGAATGCTCTAAAACTATTATAATATCACTCTATGCTCTTGTCCCTTCACTTTTTGGCTAAATGCTTAAAAATTACTTTGTGCTCTAGTTCTTTTACTATTTAACTTATGTTTAGGAGTTTGGCTCTGTCCCTTTGTTCAATGGCCCAATGCTCTAAAACTTGAGTCCCATTCCATTGATTATTTTTATCATAATTATTGTTGATGTCAAATAATTTGTCATTCGTTTGGATGGTAGATTATTATATATTTGTTCAATGAAAAAATAACACTTTGTTGTAAGGAACCAACTCCTCAAAGTGTTGTATGTTAAAGGATTCTTGAAATCATAACCAAAACAATAAAAAGTTTATCAAATGAAACCGAGTCTGAAATCAAGTCCGAGACTAACTTTAAGGCCAAGTTTGAAACCGAGTCTGAGATTTGAAATCAAGTCCAAGACTAAGTCTAAGAGCGAGTCCAAGGTCGAGTCCAAGATTAAATCTGAGACTGAGTCTAAATACTAATACAAGTCATGGGGTGAAATCCCAAAGCAATTGTATCCTGGGGGGGGGGGGAGTTGCAAGGGGGTTCCAAAAGTATAGTAAGAATCATCATTGGAGAGTTTTCCAATAGTGCTTCCAAATTGAGTTAAGGTTAGGATTAATGATTAGTGGAATTGAGTGGGAGTGAGCACAAACTTGGGTGGTGCTAGAGAGGCCACCCAAGGAAGTGCTCAAGAGTAGCTTCTATTCCCAAAAGGGAAATCAATTGTAGTGCTCTTGGCTCATATAGAGTGATACCCCATTTAAATACTATGCAAATCATTAGTCATCGTTCCTTCTTAGGGATTTACGCCTTTTCTTTGGGATAGAAGTGTGAGAGTAGGGGTATTCATACCAGGTTATTA